GAAATTGTGCAGCAATTCAATAAGTGAATAAGGCACTTTAATAAAACAACAGGAATAATACAGATTTATATGGATTGCCAGTGATAATCGACTGTCTGCAGAGGTATATACAAGCATTAAGGTTACAAATTACTGAAAAGCGCTAAGTTAAAAAAGCAATTCTAGAGAGATCTCTAAGTTTTCAACAAGAAAGTTCTCAGGGCAGTATAAATCTTACCCAAAGGTGTCCCTGTGGGGGAGAAGAGAGGTTCAACCCATCGGCTGGTCCCAGAGGTCGGGTCTGTGATGCTATCTTCTCTGACTTGTCTGTGATGACATCTTCCCTAATTTCGCCCTTTCTTTGGGCTATTTTTATATTATATTTTACCTTCAAGGTGGAGCTTGAGTGACTCTAGTCATACTTTTACCGTGACTGGTGAAAACACTTCCGTTTCCCTTTTCAGGTAGAAGTTACCAAAACTTGGAGCATATGCTCAGTAAGAGGGAAGGAGGGGTGGTCAGTGAGCCAGAGGTATGTTTTTTTGTGTAGCTATAATTCAAGGTCCACACAAGGGGGATATTTGTCTAAGGGGTGCCAGGTGTCAGTCCAGGGTCACAAACAGACAATACATCAGCCCCCATGGCACCCAACTGTGTCAGTTGTTTGAGTGAATACAGGAGTTGATGAACAAACCTTCACTTTTCTCATCCCCCATGTTGATAAGCAGACCAGGCTTCTCCGGGAGGCAACCTTGGAGAAATTCTTCACACATCAGCTGTATTTTTCCCCTGGGATCTTCTTCGACATTATACCTTTCCCTAGTGCGTGAACAAAACTGTTTTCTGGTTTTTAAGTTACCTCCAGTAATTATTCCACAATCTTTGAAGGAGATTTAACAACTGTCTTTGGCAGTTTGGTCTCTTTTATCTTTTAAATTCAGTCTTAACATATTATTTAATACAGTATTTCACCTGTATCTTCCCTTAAGTGCTTCCTCCAGACTGAGCCTGCCTGGGTCTTTTTCCAAAGCTTTGGTCGTTTGTGTTGCCCTCCAACTACACTCTCCTTGGTTTCTGTCTCTTAGAGCAGGGTGAAATGTTTAGCTTTCAGCTTTGTGGAGTTCATGTACCAATGCACCCGCAGTACAAAACACAGTGGCACTGGAAATAGTTTATAACAACCATTACTTTTGTAACTCTTTAAACTATTTCACACTTCATTTGGAAAGCTCCCCAGTGGTAGATGGCTGGAGTGGGCTTAAGGAAAAACTGAAGGGCACAGCTCTGCAAAAAACACCAGTGGTGAATGGAAGTTCTCATGTGTTTTTTCGATTTTAGAAATAAAGTATTTTCTACAAAACTGAAAGAAAGCAGAATAAAGGTTTCTATGGTCTGTACCCTGAAAGCACTGAAGAAGTGTCCTTGAGTGGTGCTAGTTAGATGAGTAGAGCTACACACAGGATTCAGAATTTTAAGATTGCAGACATGGTGTTCTCTGTGTTGCTGATCACTCAAACTATCTTTGCAGATTTTCTGTGACTGTATTGCATGTATCTCCTGACTGCAATGTTACTATATCTATTTATACATAGTTATATAGGTGTTTATCTTTCCACTACTGTGGTATTTAATGTCTGTCTGTCTGAAAAATCATATGAAGTTGTTTTTTGTTTTTATTTCAGTACAGATACATTCTCTTACTGGTTTATAATTTTCTTACTCTTATTAATATCTGTTCAGTCTGTGTAATTAGTCAATACATTCCCATTTTCTGTGGAGAAAACAAAAAAACAAAGAAATCTTATCAAGATTAATATGATCTATAAAGGTAGAAGAAAATTTGGTTATCTTTTTTGAAGAGCTATAACCTGTGTAAGGTGTTCTCCCTCCCTCCCCCAGTGACTTCTGTATGTTTATTTATTAAAAAACCTTACCTCAAAGATAGACTTAAGTCATATAACAATAAGAATCATTATTAGGAAACCTGAAAAGTTAAATTCTTTATAATCTTTTCTGATTGTGGATTTTGAAGTACTTTGTATATTGCTATAAAGTACAAAAAATCTGCACATCACTGATAGCTTCAAATCTTCACATTTCCTTAATTGCTACCCAGGTAAGTAGGATAATTTGCTCCAGACTTATGGCTACTGTGGCAACTGAGAAACTGACTGGAATACTAAATTGACAGACTGTAGTGGGTTTTATAGGCTTTACTGGATCAGAGGTTTTGTCTGAACAAAGAAATGACATGCAATATCCTGCAAACTGGCTAAAACATGAGGTGAAAGCTGGTGGTGGATTTTTGCATTAACTTAATTTCCTTAAAAAAAAAAAATCTCAAGAATATGAGGTGTAGTTTTTAATTTTAGCATCAGAACTTATAGGGCAGATGGTATCTCTCTGGCAACAGCTCATCTGGCTCCTCTCCTGCTGTAGGCTTGAAAAGCAAGGACAAGTTCATACCCTGACTTTCACACACCCCACAAGTTTACTATGTACTCACTCTTCCCTCCCTCTGATCCCAGTACCCAAAGCTCTTACCTTCTTATCTTACCTTCTTATCTTCTTATCACCAGAGACCAAGGTGAACAGTATAAAATTAGATAAACTCACTAATGCTTTTTTGTTTGGTTGGTTTGTTTGTTTGTTTGTTTGTTAACTTGGACTAAAGTGAAGTGTAAGGACTAGGTAAAAGACAACCAAAATTTGGTACCCTATCCTCCCTTTCCCTCCCCCACTGGAGACTTGACATCCTCATTTTATTTCAACTTTGCCTTTATTTCAATAACATGGTAAGGAAATTAGCCTTTAAATAAGCACTCTTTTAATGGCAATGACACTTAACGCTGCTCTTTGGAAAACAGAACAGAGCTTTCCATGGCTGTAAGTGTAGTTTCACCTCTGTCCCTTTCGTAAACTCATTGATCTTTGCTGTATTTCATGTACTGTCCTTCTGAGCTCCTGGATGACGACCATGGTCAGCTGTCGGAAAAGTGGCCCCCAACTGGCCTCCCAGACTCTGAGCCTACCAGCCAAAAAGCAAAATCAGATAAAGGAAGTGCTTTATGGCATAAGGGCTAGATTTGATACCATGATTTCTTATACATGTACAGAGGTCCATGCTTTCTTTTTAGTTTGATTCCTAATGAAAATAAAACAACAACAAAAAAAAAAAAAAACAACCCAAACCAACCAACCAAACACTGTTTGAAATAATCAAGTTACATCTGGTGATATAAAAACTTTTCTGTCCTCCAGTGCTGTGAAGCAGTGGGATGTCTGAGATGCACTGACCTTTTTTGGGGGAGAGAAATAGTAGCCTTGCAACTCACAATTGAGCCATTTTTTTCCCTGACAAAGGGTGGGGAATGTAAAAGGTACTTAATAATTTTTGTGGATGAACTTGAGAGAAATACGATCTTAATCTCTGAAACAGCCAAGAAAAACTACTAAAAAAAAATGTTGGCACTGATAAACTGTACAGCAGCTTGTTAAAGGCAATTTGGGATAATTTGTAAATGCTACTACTCAGTCAAATTAAAAAAATCTGAAAAGCCATCACTGTTAGGGAATGTTATGCCATGAGCAAGATGGGTTGTCAAAACTTCTTTTAAGTAACTGTTGCAGTTGTGCCGTGAATGCCACAGGGGCATTGCTGCTCTCTTAGCTCCTGCCTTTGTGGGTCTGGGATTCAGTGGAGAGGTGAAACAGTCTCACAGGTACCAGAGTATGCTGGCAGGAAGGGAAAGGATCATATTAAATGGCACCATTAAAGCTCATAGCTCTATCTTTACTAGTTTATTCTCATAAATTAATCCACATCCTCCTAGAATAAGTCTTCAAAGAGAAAGAGGTAATTGAATATAAATACTTTCCTTCCCAAACCCTGAATTATAGTGATATAGCAGCAGACAGCTTTTTGCACTTTGATCTCTTTGCATGATTTTCATTCTCCTTTTTAGCCTTAGTCTCGAGCCTTATTCTCTCATTACTTTTCCACAGCCAGCTGTGCTCCCTCTGCTTCCTAGCTCATCCTCTAGTCACCTCTTGTGGCCCTTTCTTCAAGAGACTGGGCCTTCGCCTCTCATTATCCTTTGTGTTCTGCTCTTCTCCTTGGGCCTTCCCCCTGATGAAGTCACATGAAATATTTGTGCCCATGCATGCAGATAAAACCCTGGCAAATGCTGCAGGGAGCTGTGAGCTTACTCTGATATGTGGAGCCAACTGCTGCTTAGTGCATTTCTGGTAAACCTGCACCCCTGTGCCTTAACTTTTGCTGAGCAGGAGCAGTGTAAACTTGTACCCACACAATGCACCATGTAGATAAAACCTTTTGTTTTCTCCAAGTGGAACTGACATGTTTTCAGCACTCTTTTGATCAGCTTGAGTCTCTACACTCTGAACTCTGTCTTGCCTCTTTGCTGTCACATTAGATTGATAGCTCCTTGAGACAGCAACTGCTTTTTGAATTAAGTCTAGCAAAACAGGGACTTTGTCCTTATTCAGTGAGTCGTACCTTAGGCATGACAGCAAGATTAATATGCCCCAGGAATTCCCAGTGCCTGACAAACACAAGGATGACAAGGAAACTGAGGCTCAGGCTGAGAGCAAGTCACCTGGCTCCATCACAAACAGTATGATTTTGCCCACTCCTTGGGCAACTTTTGGCAGACTGCCTAAATCTACAAGGTGATTGGTGCTCTTGAGGTACGGTGTGGGACTGACAGCACTAGTGATTTGAGGTCAGCAGTCTAGAGTGAGACTTGAATAAGAAAAGTGAAGGCTATGCTAAAAGTTTCTGAAAATGTTATCCTTGGTATTTGCAGCCAACTCCGAATATAACAAGTATTTCTAGAGTATTTACCAAAGATTCCTGAAGAGCTGAATCAAAATAAATATTGGTTTTGATATGAAGTTATTTTCCACAATAGCAGCTGACCTTGTTGATGAAGGAACCTTCTTCTAATCCTGATTTTCTGTAGACAGGAAAAATAAGAGGGTGTTTTCTTTCATTTTAGTGTCAACCCGTACGTCTTGATAACTCCAAATGAAACCAGAAGAAACCAGTTGCAGCAAAGTAAGTTGAATTGTCTAATACAGTAATACATTATTTCTACTTGAATAAGTTTAGGGTTTTGTGCACTTTATTGCCCTTGCAACTTTTATCTTCGTTTTTACAATGCTTTTATATGTGCAACTATGACAGTAAAGTGAGTGCTATGAGCATTCTCCATCATCGTGCAGACTTTTCTTAAGATTAAATTCTCATCTGACTAAGCTTCATGCAGAATAAGTCTTGTTCAGGTAAAGGTTTTTGGTAGTTTCAGTGCTGGAGCTGTTCAAGCTGGCTTCTACAAGACTCAGCTGGAATTAGCTCTACCGCACTTTTATAGGATTGAATTCAGATTGGAGAACCCAACTTTGAACACTCTCTGGGTTAGAGGGAGGAAGAAGAAAAATACAAGTAAGAAATGTTTTTGAAAATGCTCTCATGTGGAGACTAAAGCAGGTAGAACCACTGTTGGTTCTTGAATCTCCATTTAAGGACTGTAGGTGGATCATTTAATGAAGCTGGCAAAGGTCATTTTAGATAGAAAATATCTGTGGATATAAGTTCACTTTTGCTTGGCTTTGAGTCTTCCTGGTGAAAGTTGCTAAGCAGGAACACACTGAACCTCTACCAGAAAGATCAGTCATGTGTTAAAAAGCTGTCATTGGCAAAGTTACAGCAAGAGTTGGTCGTGAAATAAATTCTGTGTGCAGAGGTGACCTAGAACTGCAGTGCTACACTCCTGGCTGTTTATGCAAGATATGAAAGCTGAAGGAATGCCAGTCAGCACTCCTCATGTTTTGAACCCTCAAGGAAACAATGCAATTAAATAATTTCTTCTCAAACGTTGTGAGTTTGTCTGAAATGCTTCACCAGTAGACTGGTATGGGGGTTGGATTTCCTTTGATTGCAAGAAAGAAAATGGACTTCTCCTGAACCAAACTGTCATCTTCTGGAAGGAGGAATAAAAGCAGATAATCTTAGAGTTGACTGATACTAACAGCAAAGGTGCTGCTGCTCTAATAAAGATCTGTTTTCACTTTGTGCCACCAGCATGCAAGGTCTGAAGCATGCTAAGTATTCCTGCCTTGGATACTGGCAGAAATAGGGCCTCAACAAATCCAGTTTCTACCTAAGTAATTGTTTTAAAGGTAAAATAACAAGCTGGTGTCTCTCTTGGACCTCTTTAGAGACAAGCCCATGAATTGGCTTTATCTTGTTAGAGGAGAACTGATGTTAGTGTCTGATCATCACAGTCTCCCATTAGAAAATATCGTTCATGTCGGTTTTAGTAAGAGTGAAATGAGCTCCTAGAGCAACTGAAGTACTACTGTATAACACAGCTCCTCTTTCCATAGGCTTTGTCAGCCTTGCTACTGAAAGGAATTGTTGTGTTTTCTCCTCTGTCAGTCCATTAGAGAGAGCAGTTTAATCAGCCAGCTGTCCAAGAGCATATGGCTGGCACCCCTGACTGTATTGACTAGACTTCCACCAACTACACTGGGAACTTGCCAGCCATCTCACCTGTGGACACCTATGTTGAAGTGTCCTAATTCAAAGATGAATCATGCATTCCTTCTGTTTTTATTTAGGGAGCATGTGGTGGGGAGGGAAAATTACTTATTCTTCATTTCCCTGCTGGGGAGCATTACACCACAAGCAATTCCCTCCATGCAGCAATAACATCTTAATCGTAACAACTTCTGCTTTACCTGCAGGAATAAATACTGTGGCATTTACCTACAGGTTCCCAGGGGTTAAAAAGCAGTCTATTAGCAGTCCCTTAGCTGGTTTTTGTTTTGCTTTGGGGTTGAGTCCTAGGGTTTGCTTACAGTCAGAAGTTAGGCACAATGTTTGCCTTGTTCGCTGATCATTGTAGTGACTGTATAATCTCCTGGGGGGTTTCTGCACCCCTTGAGAACAAGTTTGTCTGTTCCTGGATGGGTCTTCAGGGTTACATACAATTAGCGATACTGCCTGCTTTTTAGTATTGCCTCTAACTGCCATATATTTGTTTCTTTTTGTACCTGCTCAGTTGCTAAGAAAGAGCTGGATGACCTGGAGCGGTGGAAGGAAGAGCACAAGCCAGGGCCAATTAAGTTGGTTCCACAGAGACTGGGTAAGACATGTAAATCAGCTATTATGAATAGCAACATTTTATTTTCCAGGACATGAGTAATTTTTCACTTTTCCTCACATGCTACTTATTAAAAAGATTCAGTGTCAAAAAAGGCTAACATGAGCTTGCTGTATATACTCCGTGCTTTTTGGTGGTCATGGCAATTAAGATGTTTCTGAAACAAAACAGCATAGATTGTCACTCAAGAAATATGTCAAAATCAGTGTAGAAAGGCTGTACTAATATTTGGGGAGAAAAGACATGGATTATCCCTTCTGCTGGTGACATTGTCTGTGGTTTATGTCTCTGAGAGGACACACATTTTCCATTAACATACAGATGGACAGCATGTGTTGGATACCCTCCAGTTACCCATAAGAAAACTCCTCTCTATTAGGGCCCAGTACATGTGCTTTCCTGATGGCTGGCTCCTGAAGGGGCAGAAGTGATCCCTGCAGCTTCAGGCATCTGCAAGCTAAATGTGCTTGAGACTATTATGAATTTTATAAAAATAACAACAGAGAGAGGTAAATAAAAATAGAATGAAAAGCTACAGGAACTTAGGAACACTGAATTGAACTGATCTGTTTGCTAAAATAGCCAACTTTTTTTCTAGACAAGTGAGAGGAACCATAGTAGATCTCTTCAATTGTGACCACTATAAGGCATTTAATTTAGTGCTATTTGGGAGTTAGTTCTTAAAAAAATTAAAAGACCAAAAAGAACCCCAACACAACTGCAATCTTGTGCAGAGAATAGGGCTGCAGGTTGTACTGAAGCAGGAGGAAGGTCATTACAAGTGCTTTTCAAGTACCAGTGTTCAACCTGTCTTGTTTTAGTATCTTTCTTTAATGTCTTTGGCACAAAAAATAGGAGAGAACTGATGAAACTTGCTGACAAGACAATACTTGAAAGCATTGTCTGTATAAGAATATGATGAGGATACTGCACAGCAAAAATGGGATGACCTTGAGGAACTACACTAACACTTTTAATGATGCCTTTATTAATTTTGTAGAACCAGAGCTCTTCTTCCTTCTTTTGGCTGTCATAGGAGAATTTGAGGTACATAGTGCAGGCTATTGTCTGCTTGACCTGGGAGCTAAATTCTTCCTTTGTCAACAAGATAATTTTGCAGTGATTTACTGTATACAAAAATAGATACCAGTGGGAGACAGAGGAATTTGAACTGACTCTAACCCAGATTTGTTTCTGGGATCAAGGTAATACAGGTCCCACATGTTTGTTTTGCCCTGCAGCCTGAGTCCCCTTTGTTTGCCGTGGTTAACCTACCTTTGCAAGTTGGTGTAACACTCTGTATTCCTACTATCATGTGGCCAGATGGGCTCTTTTTGAGTTCATACATACTATCTGCTTCTTGCCTGTGAGCAGTTCCTAGAAGACATGATTCTGTCCCAAGAGGACCACAAAGCTTTTTTCTGGAGAAAGTGAAATCTGAAAACAGAAAGTTGGTGTGTAGTGTCTATGCAGAATGTGAGTCTACTGACGGTGTGACAGAGGACGTGGTGGCAACCTGCAGTGACTAAGAGTGTGGGGAATCTTAACTTCTCCTGGCCCCACTGCATTTAAAAACTATTGGAGAAGAAGCAAATTAAGGAGGAAAAAAAAAAAGGGGCAAGAAAAAGCTGAAAGAATTCAAGGAGGTTATATGAGCTCTTCAGTCACTGTCTAGCTGCCACTTAAAAAGACCTCTAGAGACTGAGACACATGCACTATGTTCAGTGCCTCTGAAAAGAGGTAAGGTGCAAAGATTATTAGATCTTATCATTCCCACAGGAACAAATTTGGAACAGAAGAGAGCTCAAGGAAGGAGAAAAAAATATAAGTGACTTCTCTAATTTCACAACTGTAGGTACTCATTAAGGTAAAAAAGTATCCTATGTTATTTTCTTAGAGTGATTGTAAGAGACTATACATCTAGTCCAAACCACCAGAGACTTCTTAAAGTTGAAGTTTCTTAACACTCATGCTTTCCATAGGGAAATAAGTAGTCTGGATTTCAGTTCTGTAATACATGACTGGCAAACTTTCAGGTACCATAGAGAGATGAGAGCAATGAAGGATGCAAGTTCCACCCTCCTCCGTAAGCAATGAGTGGAGCAACAAATCAGGCCTGATAAATGCAATGGCCTCTTTTTCAATTATATTATATAAAGCCAGTCACAACATATTCTGAATTCCGTGAAACATTCAACATGTTACAGACTAGCCAACTTGAATGAAGTAAACCTGGCTGAAAGGCTATAGGCAATGGCTAATAATCATCAGTAAAATACTTGTCCAGCAGTACATGAAGAAACATACAGTCAACACAAGAGCGTTAAATATTGCCGATACATGGCTAGAAAGAAAGAAAGATAAGCATCCAAAAGGTTTCATAGAATCATAGAATCATAGAATGGTTTGGATTGGAAGGGACCTTAAAGATCATCTAGTTCCAATCCCCCTGCCATCAGCAGGGACACCTTCCACTAGATCAGGTTGCTCAAAGCCTCATCCAGCCTGGCCTTAAACACTTCCAGGGAGGGGGCATCCACAACTTCCTTGGGCAACCTGTTCCAATGTCTGACCACCCTCACAGTCAAAACTTGTTTAGTTGGGGAAGAGACACTCTGCCAACTGTATGCTTATTGCTGCTGCAGGCTTGTTGTTTTTATACTGTATGACAAGTCTTTCTTGAGAGCTTAATCTTACAGAATTATTTCTGGGCCTAGAAACGTTTCCACACTTAGGGAATTGATCTCCCATTCGTTGAACCTCACAGAAGCGCCTAAAGATCAGTTACCTTCCATGAGTAAGTAGAGAAAGCTTCCTCTAGCAAAGGGTGTGAAAGATCTAGTAGAGCTGTCTTACATTTCAGGCACCTCAAGTAGCACAGATCAGTCCAGCTGTTTCTGTAGAATTAACAGTCACATGGTGGGGAAGTTCTCAGAAAATCACTAGGTGAAAATACAGCCCTCATCCTCAAAATGGGGTGGGGGCTGCTGTTGTTTTTTGCAACAACCAAGATAGTGAATTACTGTCTTTCCCAAAGCAAGAAAATACTGTGGAGAACAGTAGAGCAGAATGATAACAATCAAAACCACTCCCTGCATCCCTTAAGACTTATGATCGCTTTCTCTGTGTGATTGGCTTTTGGTAGGTTTTTTTGTTTGTGGTTTATGTTATGTTTTGGGGTTTTTTTTCTTTTTTAAAAATATTTTTTTTAATTGAAGGCTGAACATTATGAACAGAGCTTTAGATGTTCTCAAAAGAGAGCTTGTGCCTTTGGTAAGATCACCTTCTGCTACCTGGATATGAATAAGAGGTTTGTGGGAAAAGGCTTTAATTTCCATTTCAGAAAGAAAATTCTTCCTTGAGCCCCAAGACATTACTTAGAAGATATTCAAATGATAGCATCCCATTAGAGCTGGCAGAGACTCCAAGCTCCTAAATTTGATAAAAGAGAAACTTTCTGGCAATAAAATTTCTGACTCCGTGTGTGACAAACTGAGCAAAGGTGGGGAGAGCTGGATCTGAAAATGAAGACTCATCTGCAAAGCGTCACTGATTTTCTGAAAATGGCACAGTTCCTCAGTAAACTGATCATACACTGTAGGACACATTTGCTGGTAGAGTGGATGATACAGTGGATGCTCTGTAAATAACAAGCTACTGCCTTTGACAAATGGATAAAATGATCAAAAAGGTCTCCTGTCTGTTTTCTTTAATGTCAGACAGCTACTGTAATTATGAAAAATTTCCTGTATATGCATACATCCAATCTGTTTTATTGCTGTGTTGTGAAATTACTGGCATTTGAACTTCAAATGCTCGTGCAAAATGCAATTTATATTTCTTTTTTTTCTTTTTTTTCTTTTTTTTTTAAGGTGGAAAGGAATCAGAGGCCCAAGCAAGACAAAAACAGCAAATGATTCTCACGCAATCTAAATACCAACAAAAGGTCAGGAAGAATAAAATTGTTTATTTATTTTAAGAACTCAAAAAAAAAAAAAAAGTTTTTAATGAAGTGTTTCATATGGCTATAAAATAAACTCACAGCTGCTTGAAAAAAAGAAAGTCATGAAACCTGAAGGAAGCAGCAGAAAACTAGAAACAAATGTTCTGCACCAAAGAAAATGAGAAATCTGGCTATAAATATGTAGCAACCTGTATAACAGATCATATCTAAAATGACAACCAGTAGAGTTGTAAAGCCACTTATATGCCTCACTGTATCTTCCGGCATGCTGCCTGCACTTCGACTAATTGATCAATGTACCACCCCATCCAGCGCTTATGTATAAATGTTATTCCTGTTATAAAAGGTCTAAATGCTTGTAAGTTATCAGTCAGCTGTGTGATTCCTTGCATGGATTTCCATTTATCAATCCTAGATTTCTCAGCCAATATTAAAGCAAATATTAGAGTAGCTCGTGCACAGTCTGCTTTATTCAGTGTTTCATTTTAAGAAAAAATTCTGGAAACTTTCCTCAAACACACTTTAGGTTTGAAAGATGTGCAGTACAGGAGTCAGTTACCTTATGTGTTCTTTGTATACATGCATATGTAAAACAATTTTCTATGTTTATATCATACAGCACAAGAGAGAAGAATATATAAAAGCAAAAAAGGCAGCTGAAGAAGCTGAAATCCTGAAAAAGAAAGCAATTCAGAGAGAAAAGGTAAACATGGTTACTGCAGAGTTGGAGCCCTATGACAAAGTTCCTGTCTTGATGCTTGATTTTGCTTACCTATATGAAACAGACTAATTCAATGAAATGTAAGCTCTGGATTGCATCAGGAAGTTAGGAAATCCAGTCCTCCTCTTGGTAGCTGACTGAAGGATATCTGACGTGCTGTTCTTTGGGGCTTGGACATTCCTTTGGCTTTTCAGAAACTCCAGTCTTTTGGTTCCATCCATCCTAAAGAGCTAGCAGAGAGAAAGGGAAAACCCTAGGGTCAGGATTAATGTTGTGAATAGTGATACAGGTTATATAGTTCACTTTGTCCTGAGCTTTTTCTGTCAGACCTAATTATGGCAAATGGCACAAAGACGTTATAGAAATCCATAATTGCCTGTTGCACACCTGGGAAGAATACAAGAAAATCCAGCCTGTCATGGTGGAAAAGGCATCCAAATCATGAAAAGGTCAGTGTAGTCTATCTGCATTGTGCTGAGTGCACCTTGAAATTCAGATGCCCCTCCAGCCCCTCTTGGGGAGGGTCACACCCAGATGCATTGCTAGTATATATGATCACTTTTCCCTCTAGTATTGGCTGTATTTTGACACCAACGATAGCTCACTTTTAAATCTTTGGTTTTATTTTACATTTGTTTTCCCTAGTTACTCTCACAAAGCATCTCCTCATCCTGTGTGCTGCATAAGCCTTTCTAAAAGTTCATTCAGGTCTCCTTAGTGGAAACCAAGTAACAGCCGGTTGTGAATGTAACGTGATTTAAAGAAAAAGAGAAAAGAAGGGGAGCATGATATGGACGTGCACAGTAGTAATGAGAGAAAGGGAGATTTCAGGTTTGCAATTTTTGTTTCCACAACTGTAAAACTGATCTTCTGTGCAGAAGCTGAAGACTGAGAGTTAATTAAAAAATCAGTGTTACTGGATGGCATACAAGGACACGCATAAACAAAAATAGCCTTAATTGCCTCTAGGTAAGGGTTAGTCTGTTCTCAGTCTTTCAGTTGTTAACATTAGTCTTTGGGGATAAGCCAATAAACGGGGACATTAAATATTACCATGAGAAAGTGTCATTAACAGTTACCAGCTCATGTATAGCTCCAGAAGCAGTGATGATATTAATGGTAGAAAGAGGATTAATTATATTTTATTCACCTATTAAATATATATTGTTTGTCTGTGGGTATTGGATAAGAAAAACATTGAAAGACTGCTATCATTTATAGTTACACCTAGAAAATATATTGATGTATCAGTTTTGTTTTCATGCTCTTTAATTTCCTTACTTTCACTCCCCTAGATTGTAAAATCTTTATAGATGTTGCAGATAGTAAAACTGTAACTATCAGTTTCTTCTAAAAGAGAATGCAACATAATGGCAAACATCTTTGCCAAACAGACTGTTTAATTTGAATAAATAAACATATACCCACAAAGCAAACAAACAAAACAGAGGAGCATGAAATGGAACTCTTAATTCCAATTTTTTTATTTGGCTTTTCTTCCACAATAGTGATTGAGATTTCTGCTTGGAAAATGTTTATATATATTAAAAATTCAACTCTGTGCTTAAGAAAAGCATGCTGGAAAGTCACTAAAGGTGCTGATGTGGCTAGCTCATTCTGCCTGCTGATGAAAGGCTACCAAGAGTTAGGGACAACAGGAAAGGGATCATAAAAACCTGGTACTGTAGGACCAGCGTCGGGCGCTGGTTACTGCAGGAGGGAAACTTGGGGGTTTTTTAAGTGAGAGATTTGTAGGCAACTGCACCTGCAGGATGTCAGCTGAGAGCATGTCTTTCTGCAAATTCACAAGCAGCCTTCTCTTGCTGGCCAGTCCTTCTTTTGCTCAAGATTATTATTCATTCAGTACAAGCCAAATTGCCTGACAGTCTGAGAGGCGATAATGGCTAGCCAGCTTTGTCAGCAGGGGCCCTGAAACTTTCACAGCTGGAGAGGTACTTTGCCAACAAAACTGAATGGTGAAGCCCTACAGGCTAATGCAGGATGACTAGAACGGGTGCTGGTACTCAGCTCAGTTCTTCATTGATTGTAAGGATGATGTAAGTCAGCTTTGCTTATGAACATAAGGTCTGTTTATGTTATTGTTTTAATGCTTGTTTTGCAGAGAAAAGCAATGTCCACTCTTCTGTTATCTTTGTGACCAAGAGAAAACTGGGTGCCTGCCAAAGCAGTACCCAAATGTGGAAGGTCTGTCTTACCATCTGTACAAGTCCACCTGCCTGTCTCTGTCATTCTTTAATTAACCGTGAGGTTAGGTGCTGGAATACCAATGCTTTTGGCATCTACCTTGTCTCTCTCCAGCTTCCAGAGGGAAGAAAGGTGGATACTTCCCCCTCATTCCGTGTTCCACAGGAACAGCTTGTGTGAGCAGTGCAGCAGTGAATGGGATTTCAGATCATGTGCACTCCGTGTCAGGCAGCTTGTCCTGGGACTGCTTTGATTTGTTCACAGGATAACCCTGGGCTGTTTGACTTTGGATTTTCTTCTACACTAGTGATCTCTGAGCACTCACAGAAATAATTTTGGAGAGACTTTGTAACATTAACAGGGGAGTCCCTATTTCTATATTTGTCCGTGGTGCTGAGAAGCGTGTCTGATCTGCAGAAAGTGTGGGAGTACATGGGAACTAACAGTATTATTTGCTCATTAGTAGCAGGCATCTGCAATTTGGTATCTTTTATGCAGCCTTTCACAGAATGTGCCCAGACTGATCCACAATTTCCTTTGAGTCTCTTGGATGAAAGGCCTGTCAAAGTTCCCAAGAAAATAAACAAGTGGCTAATAGTTGGCTTCTTGTTTTTTAAGCTTTCTGAATTTGTGCTGTACACAAAATAGCATAACTTCAGTGCACTGGATATTTCTGTTTCCTGTCATTCAACTTCTGTTCATGTTATCCTGCCTTTAGCCTTTCCTTGTATATGCTAAATCTTGTCTAAATATTAGAAGATTCAAAAGATTTGAACTCAAAAGGTTCAGTGCATGCAGCTTTCTTTTGCTCTCACATTACATAGTAACAACCCTGCCATCTTTAGAAACTGTCCCATTTAGAATAAGCTGTAATTTCATGTTATTCTTTATCAAATAATGTGCTCTTTAGTTTGACTGTGTTAATCAGCATGAATGGCCTTTTTCGGGAATTTGTTAAAACCGGGCACTTTACAGACCTTCTGCTAATGCTTTTCAACATGTTTACCTTCAATATCACAGCTGTTCCACTCTTGGCTTTGTTTTTGAAGATGGTGCCAAATGTGGAGTGCTTTGGCAATGTCTGATGATAGATTGTCATTAGTTAGAGAATGCCCCAGTCCCGTTGCCTGTCATTTGTACATGTCCTTAGCAGGGGTCCTGCAGTAAACCTCCAAAGTAGAAAGCAGCTACACCAGCCGCAAGTAAATAATTTCAATATGCTGGAGTTTTCTTCAGGCACCATTCTGGTAGTGAATAGCTATAGGATATTTCCTTCTTTTTGATCTAGGGAGAAACAGGGGTGTTACTGAAGGATTGCATTTGTCAACGTTAATGTCACTATGTGGTTCTAGCTAGGAGCTAGACCACAGCAACTCCAGTGAGCTTTGGGTTTAAACTTTCAGGAGCCTTTCAATATGATGGTGGATCCCATGCCAAATGCTTTTTCAGAGGTGAAGGTGTGACCTTTCAGTGTTGAGCAGTGGTGGGGAAAAGCCTGGGAGCTTTCATCACTGATGTCATGAAGGTATCAACATTGCCTTTGACAATAATAGATGCCATCAGATTTCCTTTCTACCTCTTCCTTTCCTTGAAAATTGTTAAGTTGCAGAGATGGGTGGGAGTCTTTTGTTGAAAACTTCCACCTGTTTCTGGATGGAGGGGTTAGGAGCAAACAAGATATCCTGTGAACACTATAAAAATTAACATATACTGTGGGGTGATGCTCCTTACTTTAGTTTGTTTATTTTTTTTTAATTACATCAGTACTTCATACATTCTACCACTGTTTCAACATGTTGAATGACTGAGCAATGGGACACCTTATTCAGAGACTTCTATTCCTCCTTTTTTTAATTTTCCTGTTGCTTTTTTCCAAATAAAAAACTCTGAATCATTTGCCTTCCAACAGTTTATATCATTGTTACACAACATAGCGACTCTTTTCCTATCTGCAGTCATCTGACAGGATTTTTTTCTTAATCCAATACATGCCGAGGAGGAATTAGCAGTTGTTTTGCAAATCTCTTCCAGACAGTCATTCTTTATCCAATTAAAAAATATCCACTCTGAAATTGCTGAAGGCAAATTGAGTAACTGCCAGTAGAATTGTAATTTTTCTGAAATGTTATTGATTGCAGGACAGGAAGAAAATAATGGGGGTAGGGGTTACAGTCCTGTCCTTAACACCATATTCCCCCTTATACACACACACCCTGTTTTACCTGGTGTTGCAGAATACCTCCACCCAGGTATAGTGTCCTCTTCCTGATTTGGGGCTCTGACCAAATGGGCCATTCCCACCGACGGGTCCCTTCTCATCTCTGCAAGATATTTTCTGAAATTGCCAGGGCACTTTATTTAGAGCAAGGTCTGGTTGCTGGGTTACCAAACTATTACTTTTTTCATTTTGAGGGTGGGCAATGAGCAGACCGACAGTCTGAGGTTGCAGTTTGCTCAATAGGCTAGTCGTTGTCAGTCTTGAGTGGGAGCTCTTGCTGGAGCATCCCCCCATCAACTGCAGTGTCTGAGTCTGTGCTCAAAATATAATAAGGTTGAAATCCTGGTTTGGCATTTCAGGTTTCTGCTTAAATATACTGAATTTCCTTTTGACTGCTTTTTCCACTGGACCTACCTACAGCTTCTTTGTCAGAAAAAAATTTGGCTGGCCTCCTTATGATTGGAATTTAACTTGAACTACATATTGCTGCTGCAGCAAGTTGTCTAGTTTCTGCTTTATCTTAATGTTTTATTCTACTTGAATTTGGGGAGTGGGACAACTTAGACGACCCTTCCACTGTAAATTGTGTGCAATTTTTTGTTAAAGGACTTAATCATTTTTGTGGTATCCAGATTTCCACAGGAGTTTTGTGTGTCAAGGCTTTGGTTGACTCTTGCATGGGGCCTGGTATCTGAGGCAGAATAACACTGGTTAAGTGCAAATATCTCACACCTTCATCTCTCTTAGCTTTTATTCAGCTGGCCAGTACCTAACACTCCTGAAGGCCACAGGTCTATGTGCAGACTACAGGTCTATGTGGTACAGGTACTCGTATCACTGTGCTTTCAGTGTTACAAGACTGTCATTTACTTTGGTGCGGTGGTTCGTATGCTCTGCCTTCTTACTACAATCAATGTTGCGTCAGTTGTACTGAGAGATGGCCCCTGCAGTGCTGTGACATGAGAACCATGATGGCTCATGAGGCCCTTTGTGAGCACAGGTGGGTCTGCCAGGAGCACAGTGCAGTTTTCTATTTCAGACTGGTCTCTTGACAAGTTTACTAGGAGCTCTTTGGCCATGGCTGAACACTTTTAAATTTGGGATTGGGTCGCTTCTGTACCCAACTGCTACTCCAGTTGTTTTTAAAAACAGAATATTGAAATACTTGAAATAATCAACATTTGTTTCTGGCTTGCTGGAAATCTCAAGTATATTTTCCTGTTTTTAACGCTGTAGGCAGAGACACTTGAAATTAAAAAAAGGCAACAAGAAATGCGAAGAAGAGAGATGTTCCTTGAGGATCAATATTAGTAAGTAAAATTTGAAACTTACTTAAAATTCCTCATTTGCCTGTCCTTTTGGTTTTGGGGGATTTGGGGTTTTGTTTGGTTTTTTTGTCTATGTCTTCTTCAGGAAGGGTTTGCCTTTGCTGTTGGTGTTATTCACTGTTTGACTTGAAACATTTGACTTCAGAATAAGAAGCGATGGACAGAAACTGAAACACAGAAGATTCCCTCTGAATATCAGTAAATACTTTTCTCTGTGATGATGACTGAACACTGGCACAGGTTGCCCAGGGAGGTTGTGGAGTCTCCATCCTTGGAGATACTCAAAAGCTGACTAGGCATGGTCCTGGGCAGCTGGCTCTAGGTGGCCTTGCTTGAGCAGTGGGGTTGGACCAGATGACCTACTGAGGTCTCTTACAACCTGAACCACTCAGTGGTTCTGTGAAATATTCCAAACCTCCTCCATACCTTATTATGTGAACAATTTGGTTCAGAAGATCTATCTTAGCTTCTCAAACCTACACTTTGAAATTAAAACTGAATTATAGGATGACTTTGAGCTTTCTTTCTCTAACTGAATCAATATGTGAACGTTCAATCCAAGATTAATTATTGAAACAGGTTCTAAATTGCATCTTCACCCATTTATTTTAGTGACTAGTAAAGAAATCTAACCCACATGGAAATAATAAGGACTTCCTATATTTAGCATAGTCCTACAGCTTAAATGTAGAGATCTGCTGTGAAGACTCATTTCCCAAGAATAACTCCTTAATATCAGATTTAGATATGGCTTAAGTCCTGACGTAATTAATTCCATTGGCAGTGAAGTTCCTACCTTGCCAGTTCACTCTACCCTATTTATTCATTTTTAACTGATCCAAACCAATTCTATCACATAATTAACACAAAATGCTGTTTAGTCACCTTTACCTTTTTTATCTTTGGCTCCTGGAATTACTCACCTGTATCCTCAGCATGATTGATTGCTCTTTGTTCCTCTGTGACCTTTAAAGAAGTCACTTCTGTTCCATGCTAGTAGCTCCAGTTCCTTCATCATTTGCCCAGACTTTGTTCTCTAATGTATAGATATTTTAGTGCTTTCTTACAGATTTCAACCTTTCTTGTCTTTTTCCTTTTATTTCTTCACATTTGGCTTTAGGTACAGCTCTTTCGTTAAATATAGTGCCAATGTTTGTCTCTAGGTATGGGTATTTTGCCTGCTGTTTGTCCTCTGTTTGTCCCAATGTGTATTTCACACACGCATGCCTTGATTCCTCAGGATATCTGAAGACCCTGCACAGCTTTAGTTCTGTGCCTTTTTCTGACAGACTAGACACCTTCCCGCTCTTTGAGCCTAACTCGACAACAACCTCATCAGATCTTTTCAGTGCAGAGTCCTCAGTTATGGGATTTGCTTTTTCCTGAAGTGATTATCAGGGTTCTTATCTTCACATTTAATTTTTTTTTTTCTTAAGACTTATTCAGTTATGAACAAAGACATATGTCTTCCTTTCCCTCACCTTCCCTGTCTGTACCTTTTTTTGCTTAGGGTGAAATGAACTCTGTTGATCAGCACTGTTTCCATTAAAAGAAAACTTGGTCCTGTCAGGTAGATCCAAGCCCTCTGAAACATATTCATGTGGGCAGTTGGTTGGTCCCCAGGTGGTTCAGGAGCTCAGACAACCTAGCCACTGGGAAGGAGACTGACTGATAGACACAATGTCCACTGGTTTAGGAGAACCTTGAGAGCATTCAGCTGGTGTAATCTTAGGAAACCAAACCAATTGATGCAACTGAGGGTAAAGATGGACTGTTGAGCTCTATTGCCCAAGATTTTGTTAAACTGTTAGAAGATTCTTTGCACATACTGTATATTAAACATAAACCAGGAGGGCCCTGTAGATATCGCATCTGCAGGAAGTGAGCTGAAAACCTACCTACAGTGAATGCAATTTTGGTTAACCAAAAACCTTCCATATAGAGTGACACTAGAGCCTTACCTGGTCCGAAGAAATCCTCCAGTGGGCAGAGGAAGAGGAGTCTTGGGCAGTAATGGATTTACCACTGGATGTTGTTGAGGTCATATTGCTAAGATACCCTGGCATTATGGAGCACAACATCCAGCAGTGATGATATCTCAGATCTTGTAAACTAGTTCCATTGAAGTACTGCCAGTTAGTAGAGAGATGGTCACAGAAATGTACTTGGTATTTAAAGCCATGCTTTTGCATACTATGCAAAAAATGAGTGACTCATTACTTCCATCATCTAAAAGCCTATGTCTAGAGGCGAAGAGAACAAATAGGAATTTGTGCACCTTTCCTTGCTGTCTCTGCTAGAGTATTTTGATCTCCTTCCCTGCTTGCTGGGAGAGGGGGGAAGAAAGGTCATGCATTGCATATAAAGCAATGACCTCTGCAAAGTCATGGCCTCTGGAGCCATTTCAAAAGATAAGCTGCCTTGTTAGTCTGTCCTCTGTAAGCATCTATAGCCGCAACATCACAATTTTCCAGAGATCAATGCCTACCTGCAGTCTCATTAGCTGTGAAACCTTTTAAAATTGATCATCACCTCTAGCTGTATCTGCCTCCATGGGGTACAGCCCAATCAGTACTTCTCTTGTATAAAGTGCTGCTTCTATTTGATATGGAAAGACACTTCAGATTCTCGTGGCATTAACATACTCTGACAATAAAGTATGATGCTGCCCAGAAGTTTGCTGTTCTGATTAAATTCCTGTCACTATTAAAAACAGGAACTTATCACTGAAGTCCCCTTTCAAAGGGTGTAATACAAAGTAAGCAAATGCCAAAAGGAAAAATTGTCCGCAGCCTTGTCCACTCTCTGCAGAATATAGTTATTTCCTATCACTTGAAAGCCTTGTTAGCTTCTTTGCCTACAACCAGCCCTTGAAAGTCAACTGTATCTGTTATCATAGTTGCTCAAGTACGTGTTTGTGTCTTGTGAGAATGAGGCCTAGACACACATGCAGAGCACTGTGGAAAACTTTGCAAGTCTCTCTTTGGGATCAGCAGCTCCTCTGACCCAGGTGGGCTCAAGCTCTACTATGTGACTAAAATGGGCAAAACTCAAAAGGTATCAACTCAAATAGCTGCGTATAAAAAGCCTGAAGAGCAGACTTTGAACTGGGGAAGTTACTGCGTGTCAGGATTGCTATGGTTTGTACTAACAGAGGAGAAACACTTGAGGGATTTACTGGCATAATGTTGCTGTGTACTATGCAAGCATTCATTCTTTTTTAATGCACTCTGACAGAAACACAGCCCCTACCACAGGCCAATACATCCAAGACACTATTATTCAGAAGGAAGGACCCTATTTCATGTGTAAGTAGTTTCCAGTAGAAAAGTGCACATGTGCTCTTTATTTTCTAGAGGTGGTATCTACAGAGGCAGAACCACAGCAACATTATGCCAATAAATCCCTCAAGTGTTTCTCCTCTGTTAGTACAAACCATAGCAATCCTGACATGCAGTAACTCCCCCAGTTCAAAGTCTGCTCCCGTGTGCTCTTCAGGCTTTTTATACACAACTATTTGAGGAGACACCTTTTGAGTTTTGCCCATTTTAGTCACATAGTAGAACTTGAGTCCACCTAGGTCAGAGGAGCTGCTGATCCCAAAAGAAAGACTTTGCAATTGCTAATCCTTGTGAGGAAAGGACCGCGTGTCCACCTTTCCAAACAGGAATGAAGAAGAGGTTAGTTGGCTGGTTCAGGACTTTTCAGGACATCTCTTTTTAGTTAGAACACAGAAAATGTCATTTAAACAGTAATGAGGGATGACCACTTTGTGACTTGTGTTTCTCTCTGGCTTGCTGTGCAGGCTGTATGAATCTCTGCCTGAACTGTAGTGTGTCTCACCATAAGGTTTTAGCCCAGCTCTCTAGTAAGGTGCTTTTATTTAATTTGGATTTGACTTCCCAGAAACTGTAGTGTTGGATGTGGTCCACTGCAGTTCTAATAGCTATCTGCCTATTTATGTAATGGGAAAAGCAGTCTAGCACATAGAGTTTCTTTTTAATAGTACATGATGGCTGTTGTGTCACTTCATCTTTCCCTTTGTTACATATTCATGCCTCTGTTTTTGTGAAGGTTTTACTCCTGTAAAAATTCCTGGCACTGCTGCACTCGAGTACATGTGTACACTCAATATATTCTGCTCAGAATTTGGAGCTAGGAACAGAATTTACCAGAGTGCCTCTAAGTGCATATTCCAAATACAATGCAGGAGGTTCACCAAACCAAGCTGACATACACTTGCCTGCCAAAGCAGTTTTCTCAAAAGTCATAAAATGCAAGAAAATAAAACCTGAATCAAAACAGAATTTGTATTTATTTATCTATTTTTACATTATAAATACTGGTGTCCTTGCCAGTTTCTTGTCCCCTGTGATGTGTGGTTCAAACAGCAGGCTGGTAACAAATTTTCCCCACAGAAGTGCAAATGCAAACCTGACCAGACTTTTAATACAGGTTGCTAGAGAGAATGAAAGAGGGCTCACAAAAAACCGGTTTGCAGCCTTGAGAATCTTTTGTTTGCTCCTTTTTACCACAATGGTCTTCGTTTTGTTCATTTGCTCCTGATTATTTTAAGCGTTGTCAATTATTTAGCTAACAGGCAGAAAACTAGGCTTTTATAGACATCCAAAGGGACTCTCTTGAGTGTAATAATGAAGGCAGTTTATTGAACGCCTGTGAGGTTGCTTTCTAATTGTACACATTAATCTGCCCAAGCAAGCTGGCTGAAAATATAGAAGCAGATTGCACATGCAGATGGAGCATATAGAATGGAAGATCTATGCAACAGACTTATACAAAACTACATTTTCCTTAAAACTGGATTTATACTTATTACTTTACATACTAAATGAAACTTGATGTCTAAAATGACTTTCAAGAATATTGGATGAGTCGGTGGGAGGAAAAAATAGCCTAGCTGTATTATTTCATCCAGTCAGGAAAACAAAAAAAAAAAAGTGGGTTAACAGGAAAGATTAGTT